GGCTGAGCTTCGCCCGGCACGCCGGCTTGCGTGCGTGAGCGGCAAGCGGAGCTAGGGTTAAGGCACGGGTGGTGTGCTGGTGTCTGATTTCTTGTCACCTGAGCTCAGATTTTGCTGCAGAACTACCTAACGCATAACTGACTGCGGGCTTTCCGGGGTTTCCATCCCAGACCGTTTTGTTGCAGAGCAGATACTAATACAACTGCTTTAATCTCTTCATTTTGGCTGTGGGCTGATGCTGACGGGTCACCTTGCTGTTCTGAGAGCGTACCACCCTCAGCAGCCTGCCTCCTGTCATCTGCTGGGTTTCATAAAGTACCAGACCAAAGAGGAACAACTAATAAAATCTGACAATAAGGTCTTTTTTTTTTTATTTTGTGTAATGATAAACTGATAGTAGAATGCTAAATAGGTTTTATTTTAACTGAATTAACTGCCTCAGTACCATCAGTGTGTTCACGCTTTTATTTTCAGTCTTTCATAATTAAATTCTTATCCCAATTAATAATGCCCATAATTCTTACCTACCTTTGACTGGAATATTGCAACAAAGTGGGAAGAAAAGAGCATAGTTCTATGTGAATCTTGCAGTGGGTACACAGTGTCTGTCTAGAATCGTGTATATACGCTCTTAAACACTTGCTTGGAGGGTATTGCACTGTTGAAAAGGGTCATGCATTGACTTTTGTCCTCTGATTGCTTTTTGTTTCACAGAGACATGCTTCCAGAGCAGAAGGGCCTTGTACTGGAGTCAGCGGTGCTGATAAGGTTCTACTGATTTTTTCTGTAGTTAAATTTGGCTCTGACTCTTCCAATCCATCTTCATTCTTTCTTTCCTTCCTTTTTCAGTTAACCGTCACAACCATCTTTTGTCTTCTACATGACACGAACCAGCCATCAGCTAATTTTGTTTCCATCATTTTAATTTATTCATGTACTCTGCTTTTGTTTTTCCTCATCCATGTTTTTTGTGCAGAGTTCACATGAGACTCTGGACATAGTGGAGGAGAAGAAGCAGGCAGAGGTTGGGATAGAAGAAACGCTAGTCGTAGACGAAGCCAACAAAGGGAAAATGCAAGTTGCCACTGATGCTGGGGAGACATGTAAGGTGGAGCATCTGTCAAAAAAGGACTCTTCATCAATGCCATCAGATAGTAGCAGCAGCAGCAGCAGTAGTAGTGAGAGTGAGAATGAAGAGGTGGGAGAATACCAGCCACATCATAGGGCAATTGAGGAAGTCATCAGGGAAGAACAGGAAGAAGAGGAAGATGTGAAAATGAAAGAACATGAAGAAAAAATACAGCATGTGGAAGCCACACCAGAAGGCAGTAAACTAACTGTACCAGCTGAGCACACAGAAGTTACAGCTGAAGGTTTGGTCCAGGAATATGCAGTTACCATAGCTACAGAAGAGAAGAATTTGTCAGAAGAAATTAAGCAAGATTTAGGTGAAGAAAAAGAGGAAGAACAGCTCAAAGTCAATGGAGATGTGTCTCATGTTGACATTGATGTTGCACCAGAAATAATTTGTTGTTCTGAGGTAAATGGTAGAAGTTTGACAACTAGATTAAGCAGAGATATTTCTTGGGGTGAAAATATACCTGCCTTTCTTCTTCTCCTATTACTCCAGCTCTTCAGGCATCCAACAAGATTCAGATCGTTTGGAAGGGGAAACCATTGATGAGCAGTGAAATTCTGTCTCCTTCGGTTATGGTTTCTGACTTTTTGCTAGAACTGAGTGAGAATCACCAGTAAGGCAAACCTTCCGAAGACTGACATCTTTTTTTTCTTCCCCTTATTTTATATGCATATACATAATATATTTATTATTTACATGTTTCCAGTGTTTTAAGTCTCGTCTTGTCTATTTGTCAATTGTTTTTGACACGTCCATGACATGTAATTGTGATTGGAAATCTATTGGCAACTGAAATTAGAAAACACCCGTCACAAATTTTTGTTCCTTTTTTTCCCCCCACATTACTGCTTTTCTTGCCTTTTTTTTTTTTCTTTTAGAAAATTTTATGGATTTATAGGCTAGAATAAGTATGGCTAGAAATTGCATAGGTGAGAGCACTGCCTTGTAATGGGATGAGGCATATATCACAATCTTACTACGAAGTCTTCTAGTGCAGTAGATACTTAGGGAAGCATGCGTGGGTTCCAGTCACAATCAGTTGTTTTAAGCCAAACAAGGTTGAAGGGTTCATTGCTAGGCAAACTTTATAAAGAAAGGGAAAAAACGAAGTGCAAGGATGCATCTCTTTGGAAAGCTGGCATTATCTTCTGCTGAGTTTTTCAACAATTGGGTGTTTTTTTTCCGAGTTATCTACCTGCTTGTTCTTGTAACAGTCACAATTTTTTTGCTTTGTACTTAAGTCCAAACAACTTTCTTTCTTTCTTTTGTTGTCTTATGCATAGACAGGTGTTCTGATTAATGATGTAAATTAATTTAGAAGACCTTTGGGAGTTGTGGGCGCCAAGACTTCCTAAAAACACAGCTAATCTGGAGGAAGGGGAGAAGGGCTGCTGTGTGTGCAAGTGCGTGTGTTGTTTCGTAGGATTTCCCCTCCACGTGCATCCAAAATCAATGGCAAATAGCAACTGATGTATCTAGAAAAATATCAAAAGGCTTTATTAGATTTTTTTTTTCAAAGTTCTTAAATATGTTGAAAATCTGGTCCAATAAGAGAATTCACAAGTTCACTGGCTTACAGACCCCTGGTTGATAGCTCTCTTTGTGATGTTGCAGAGAACACCACTAGAGAACTCTCAATGGTTAAAATGGCTTTTTAGGATTGTTGTCAGAAGAAGCCATTGATTTCCGGAATTATTACATTGAATGTAGACTGTTTAAAATCCAATTGCCAAAGTTATTTTTCTGTTCCAGAAGTAGCATATATTAAAAAGTTAAACTTTTCCGTAATTTCCTTGGAATTTTTTTTTTTTTGCTGTTTGACTGAGCAATGATAGGTATATCCCAGATTAACTCTTGATATGAAACTTATCCATTTAAACTAGCTATCAGCTTCTTTGTCTAAACTAAGATGATTTTTTTTTTTTCCAAGTGATGCTCTTTTACACATTTTCAAAACCTGTGTTGCATCTTGGTTTGAGCAGTTGTCTTCTGTGATGTATACTGTTAGCTGAAACAGAACTTTGGCAAGGTTATGAGATTAAATTTTCCTACCATGTTATGTAGAGATTGGAGGGCTGCTGTATTAGTCTTCATTTCACTTTTCTTATTTGCTGCATGCTTTTTGATTGGGAAGACAGTCAGATACTTACTGTCTCACAATTTTCTGGAGTTTTTGGTTGTGTTTTCTTGGTCCACGTTACAAACCTTCTTCTGTCTTTTGAATTGATTGGTTATTTCTTGCACCACAGCCTCCAGTAGTGAAAACAGAGATGGTAACCATTTCAGATGCCGCACAGAGAACTGAAATCTCCACTAAAGAAGTTCCAATTGTTCAAACAGAAACTAAAACTATCACATATGAATCTCCACAGGTATGGTAGCTGGGCTGTTACATTGTTTGCAAGCTGTTTTGTATTCCAGTTAGTTGTAGATCAAAATAGAGAATGTCCAGAAAATGCTTTTCAAAAACCTATACTTTTTTCTAGCAGCTAAGGTTATACTTTGGCTGTGAATTAGGTAAGTGAAATGTTTGTTGATAAAGCAGTATTACTTCTGAAGTTCTAAGTCTTTTTTTTTATATAAGGACTTAGTTGCTGTCTGTGAATGTATAATTCATTTTTAGTTTTGGAAATGTGATTAAAATATCTCATTGTTCCTGAAAGGAACATGTATCTTTGATCATAAATTTTCCACAAGAACGAACCATAATGACAGTCTTACATGACTTGGTAAACTTGGATGGCTTCTGTTTACATTTCAGTTCTAACTGAACTGAAGAACGTGTTTAGTAAGAAAAACAGCCTTTTCTCCTGTGAAAACAAAGCATTTAAATGCCAAAATACAAAAATACCATTTTTTCCATTACAGTTTGATGGCAGTGCTGCTGGCAATGCTGGTGTGCTGCTGAGTGCACAGACAATAACATCTGAGTCAATTTCTACTACCACAACTACACACATCACGAAGGTAAAATATAATAATGTGTCTCTGAACTGGAAAAAAAAAAAACCACCCTTAAAATAAAGTCTTACATGCTGTTTCTCATATATCTGCTAATTTATTGAAGAAAACTGGCTTGAAGTGGACTGGATTCATTCCAGGCATGTATAGGAGCTAAACTTTCTGTACACAGGTTTTGAACAGAGAAGCCCTAATGGGTAAGCAGGAATATCTGGGAACAGGACAGGGAAAGGGAGAAAAAATATTATTAGATTTTTTTAGTACTTCGTATAGGTCTTAATTCTGTGTTTGACAAATGAATATGTACCTAAACTATTATAGTTTCAATCCTGTCATCGCTCACTGGTATCTTACCGAATCTTCATTAACGTAACTGATTTATCTGAGATCCACGTGAGCCTGCCTAATGGCATCTGTTATAAGGATGAACTGAAACAATGTTTTCTCAGCCTTTGTGTTGATGATCCTTGTGCTGCTAAATTCAGAGCATATTTAAAAGCAGATCATAGTACTAGATTACTTTGCAACCATATTTTGGTGCTGAACTGTGTGCTCTGCATTCCATGCTTGACAAGGAAAGGAAAACTCAGTGTTAACAGGACATCACATTTGTTGCAGTCTCGTGTAATGTTTTATGCCAGAGTATATTAGAACTAGGAAAGTGTGGTGGTGATGAAGATAATTGTTGTTGTTATTAATTTATATAAGTATTTATAGAAGTTTAGGCATGCCCCAACAACACGGTTTTGAACTCTTGTCTTTGAACTCTTAGTGTAGTTTTCCAAGAAAACTACAGAAAGCGTTGTTTAGGGAAGAGGGAAACTTAAGGTGTGAGACTGGGACTTTTCCCCCCAAGGCAAGAAGTTTCACATCATTGGAGAATGGAACAATAATTCACTGCTCACTGCATATATATCCAGTATATATATATATTCTAGAGATTGAAATATTCTTAAGATTGAAAGCTGTATTCACAGAATGACAGTTGGAATGATGTTGGAAAGTTGTCACGTGAAATAAAGTACTCTTAGAATTTAAATTGTATGTTTTGTTATACAGACTAGTCGACAGGTCGTCTTCAGTCTGCTGCTCCCTTTTGGAATTATTAAGCCACCACCACTTTAGGAAAAAGTCTGCATTTAATAAATTGTGCTGCCACAGTTAGGGGAGCCCGGGGAAAGTGTACGTTTACTTGTCAAGTTCAGATGTCAAATAATGCTGCTTTTTGGAAGGAACCATCAAAGAAAATGGTTTCAGTCTTGTCTTGTACTAAAAAATTACTGGCGTTACCATAATGCAACAGATCCTTATCTTCTTTTTTACCGGCTGCTTATCATAGATGCAAATGACTGAATTTTCTAAACTAACTTTCTATTTTACATCCCAAACTGTTCATTATTGATAAGGGACCTACCAAAGCAGTATTAATACTCTAATGGTGTTCTTGAGAGTCATCTTAGACCTTTTCTAATATGGTCAGTGTATCGTAAGTAACAGTTTCTTCTTTTCTCTTATACAGGCTGATTTTAAAAAAAAAGCATATGAAGTTATTTCTGGGGGATTTTTTTCTGTAAGCTAAAATGTCTTAATCATTAGAGTAAGAAATGAAGAAAAAAAGCACAAAATTATTTCCATCAGCAATGTGAAGTATGTTGAAAATATCTCACTAAGGTCCGTGAATTGCAGAACTGAAAGCCAGATCATCTCTGTTTTTAATGGCATAGGATTCTTCAGAGACTGAGAAGAGGCTCATGATAGATAGGCTGAAATCAAAGAAAAGGCTCCTGGAATTTCCTCCTTGCCAGATTTATATGGTAGAAGAAGCTGGAATTCCAGTTTGTCTGCATATTTAGATCTGTTCAAACATGGGCTCCAGTAACAGAATGAATTCTCTGTTGCTTGGTTTTTTATCAAGTTTAGCAATTGCTGGAATGTGACTAACTACATAATTGAAAAAGGAAAGGATTATTTAGCACCGAGAATATTTACTACTAATTGTAACTCAGTCACAGAAATTTATTTGCTTCAGTGCAACGGAAAGGAGTGCTTTGTGGCAGTAGGGAATAATTACAAGGATGTTTTCTTTTTTGTGAAATCTGTAGATGGTCAAAGGTGGGGTATCGGAAACAAGAATTGAGAAGCGCATTGTCATTACTGGAGATGCAGATATTGACCATGACGAGGTGAGTATGTAAGCTGTTAACACTTACAATGTGGTTTTTGTAGTCCAGTGAGATCTAGATGGTATTTCAGAAACCTGAAATAAGATAAAGGCAGAGAAGTTGAATAAGAGGACATAGAAAGACCCTGAGGCTGTTAATTGTGGCAAAGTTGTTAGGCGATTGTGTTTTGTGAAAAAGGAGCCTTTAGAATATAACTGAAAGAAAAACAGTGTTTGTAACTTTGCATCATAGATCATGTGAATGGATTTCTTACTGTTTTTGAAGGGATTGCTTTTTTTGAAGAGACCAGATTTGTTTAGTGATGCTTTTGCCATGCGGGAGGAAAAACATTACTAAAATAATCTTATTTTGATACATTAATCTGGATAGATGGGAGTCTCTACTGCATTGTGTCAGCAACGTCTGAATGCTGGACTCATTTTGACTGAATGCTTTGAAATACATTAAAGCATAAACTGCTCTAATTTCAAACAGTTTTTGACTTGTATTTATAGAATTCTGTATAACAAAAGTAATTGTTGATCTGCTGAAATCTTGTGTAAGTGCCTTTCAACTCTGTCAGTACCAAAGCAGTATTTTATGATGTCTTAGAAACTACGGTTAAAATCACTTCTACGTGCCCAATTAAGAAGGCTGAATTTAAGCAGTATGCAGGAAACTAATTGAGAAAGTGCAATTATCTATTCTTTGTAGTCATGATTACACAATTTTTATTGGTTTTCATCTAAGAAACTATAGTAACAAAGTCAATCAACAGTCACTGGATAATACAAATGGAAAAGCCTACCTTCTACGTAAAGTTGCAGTGAATCCAATTCTAACTTTATGAAAGCTACACAAATCAACGTGACAGATTTTAATTTAACTTCTTAATTGTAATATACTGAGCGCTCTTGGGGAATTTAATTTCAGATTTTGATTTGCATCCAGAAAGTGGCTCTTGACAAGTTGAGTCTCTTCTTGAAACTCATAATGAAGTGGCAGGGCTGTTCAGCATCAGGCATGGCTCTTGTTTGCCTTGACACATGTTCTGTGCACTTCGGACGTCTGGAAAGGTCACACAACACCTTTAGTACACCAGAAAATTTTCTAAGCCCTTCTTTGTTTTGATAAGTGGGTAATGAAATAAGAAATGAAATTATAAAAAAGGAAGTACAAGATACAATTTTAATCACTGCAGTTTAAAGCATCAGTGAGCAGCTTTTAAGAGATTTAATAAATCTCTACCACTTTTTGTTCAGTGGATATGGAGCTCTTAAAATGCATGAACTACATGCTGGATGTTTATTCTTTTGTCTGTTAGCTCCCTACATCACTAAAACAGTTTTCAATACAAAAATAATGTTTTAATTTGGAGTTTCAGAATACAAATGCTTGTCTTACTTGTTGTAATTTAACAATTAAAAACTTAAGGTTTTTTCGTTGTTTGTGGTTTGATTTATAAACACTGATTCTTAAATCCCAACAGCCACTTTCTTTTAAATCCTCATTTGTACTACAGAGATTACACTTGGTGTATAGTAAAAGATGAACTAATAAAAGTTGTTAGGATTAATACATCGGCAAACATCAGTATTGTACCAGTGCACACTGTGTGTTCTACTGTACATATTTCCTTAATATGATTTAAAATTTATTATCATCTAATATTTAAGGTGGCTAATGTTGGTGTTTCTGATCCTTCTTCAGAGTTGGGTATTTCTTCTCCCACTTAGCACCTATGGCTCAGGAAATTGTCGCTTTTGTAAATTAAGATAAACCTTTTTTGTTGCATTATATTTTTCTTGCTCCTGCTAGTATATTTGGGGTTTTTTAGTTGTGGTAGATAATAAGGTGAACATATTGGTACATCTCTTAAGAAGATAAAATTTCTTAAAATGTGGAGGAGGGATTATAAGAAACTGAGTAACACATTTACAGTTCACTGAGTTAAGCTAGAGAAAATTCTCTTAAAGGAGGAAAAGGAGGTTCTTGTGCTGAGAAAGCAATTTCTGTTATGATCTTCTTTCAGAATTTTAGTACCATACTTTGTACACATTCCAAAGTCTCTTCCCATTTTGTTCAGGAAACTGAAGAGAACTCTTTTTTCTGTACTGTATACATTGTTGTTAAGTCTTTAGTTGCTAGTTCTGTTGCAGAAGTTCAAAAACTTCTGGGATATAACACTTGTTGTCTCCTGGAATGAGCTAGAAAAGTTACAGGAGAACTTTATGGTTATTTGTTACCTCCTGGAAATTTTGGTAAATTTTTAGCATAGTCAGGTTTTTTTGTTGTTGTTGGGTTTTGGTTTTTGGTTGTTTTTTTTGTTTTATCCCTGAGCCCTCTCAGGTTCAGGAATTTAGAGTTCTGAACAATTATAACCAAAATCTCTGATGCTTCTCTCCCATAATGTGGCCCCACATGAATGTCCTTTTGCTGTTGTTGAGTTACACATTTTGAATACATTTGCAGGCCCTGGCACAGGCAATCAAAGAAGCCAAAGAACAGCACCCTGACATGTCTGTCACAAGAGTGGTGGTGCACAAAGAAACTGAACTTGCTGAGGAAGATGAAGAGTAAAATAAAAGATGCTCTCAAGCAAACATTTCAGGTAAGCTTATGTATGGTAAGAAACACTGGAAAATGTAGCATCAGTTTTCTGTTGCATTCTGTAATAAAAGGGTTGAAAAATGTGGGTCATCTTTCATATATGCTATCACAAAACAACAACAAACAACTCAACACTCACTTGAATATTGATGTTATAATATTAATTGTTTTTATTATTATAACATATAATCTTATAAACTGTGAAAATAACAAGGAGGGGTGCTTGTGAGGGAGGATTGGGGATAAGTCATCAAAAATTAGGAACTGTGCACAAATCTCTATATGTTTTTTCACAGTACCTTTATTTCGATGTTCAGTTGGATTTGCTTTGTAGCTTTGTTGCTTAGTGACACTGAAAATGGGAATACCGTGCGTACTTCAGCTCTGTTTCGAAAGCACAGGAGAGGACTTGGAACTGCACTGCACTGTGAGATAGGGATGTGTGGCTGAGTCCTCACATGACATAAATGCTCCAGAAGGGCTTGAAAAAATCCACATCACTTTTGAGAGAGCTATTAGTTTATAGCAAGGAGAATGCAAGTGGTTTAGGTAGTTTCACTGATCCCTTGGTACACAGCAACATTAAACATGCATGATCAAAACATCATTCTTGTATTTTCAGCCTTTACATAGTAGGATCTAAGGTAGAAAAATAGACTGAGACAGCAGAACAGATCATTTTGATTTGCAAGGATTTACTATTATAGTATATGCTGCCATCACAGTTTTAATTTATTATTAATCAGTGTGAATTTAAAAGTCTTGGGAGCAGAGGTTGCCTATTCTGTTACATTTGTGCAGAATGTGCCAGTTTCTTCATGCTGTCTTAATCCAGAAAAGTATCAAATCAGTATTCAACATAATCTATCCCATATAAGTAACTACAACATTTTTCTTGAAGGGACTGTGTCATGGGAGGAAGAAACAATCTTGGCAGGTTTGCACCACGTTTCTACATTAGTGACTAAATGCAAAGTTGATTCTGTTCCTTCATCAAATATTTAATTGCTTTCTAAAATTTTATTTGGAAAAAACACACAAAAAATTCCTTCGTTCTGCTGAGGATGGTTTTTTGCGTTTTTGAGAACTATATACATTGTGGAAGGGTGTTTGCAATGTGTTGGAGATGGTCAGATGTTCTTGTCTGAGTCTGCCAGTTATTTTACAGCTCTTGGTCTGAAATGCTTGTGAGACAGTAAAAGAGGATTAATATGAAGACATTTCACCATGCTGCTCTTGTATTTGAGAGCCGGTGACTTGTTTAACTGACAATGCCTTTTAGTTAAACATTGAGGAAAAAATTCAGTTGTTGAAACACAGGCCACCTGAAGTGCCTTGAATATCTGTCTGCAGCTTGGACCATCAAGAGAGCTATACCCTCCTGTGGCAGGAACAGCTCTAGACAATCGTTTTTAGGCAATGGAATCATGCCACAAACCTTGATTACAGAATCACAGAATCACAGAATAGTAGGGGTTGGAAGGGACCTCTGTGGGTCATCTAGTTGTTTCTAAGGTGATGAAAGCTCTGCCTCGATGACTGCTGCAGTGTTGTTTGTATAGACTTGTTTTCTGTAATAAAAGTGAGAGATATTACGCTCTGATTCGGTGGGATTATTAATTGAACAAATATCTTCAGTTTTTATTTATGCATAATATAGTGGACTAAAATTTTCAGTAAACTATACAAGAGGTGACTACTAAAATAGCATGAGAATTCTGGGGAGAGAAAAATACACTAAAGCGAGAAAAGCGTTGATAGAAACTGCATTACTCTTTACCTCACGATGGAAGAGGTTTATAGTTAATGCAATGTTTTTTTATGAAATAACCTTCCCCCAAACAACCTGTACAGAAAAAAATGACTTTTTGACTCTGATGATGTGACATTCGCACAGTGTCCATTATGAATGCTTGTGTAATCTTACCCCTCTTTTCTTCCAGAAGTAAAAATGATACTGACCGTGATCGTGACCATGAAGAACTGTAATCATTCCAAGTCATCACTGCTCTACTGAATTCACCAAGCCTAGCAATGACGACCAGATGTTCAAGACTTAAATGCCAATACCAAACTCCATTTTAACATCTTTGGTCTACATTCCCTTACAATCTTTCTTGTTTATTTTTTATAACCACTTCTTAACAATCTTAGATTTTTTTTAAATGACGTTTTAGAGGGTATGATCTTATTTTGCACAAATACTTGTATTTTTGAAGCTGATTCTTAATTATATGAAAGTGAACAAAAAAGAAGTCTGGAAAGCATTGTTCACTGGAGCAGGTAGTAATTGTGCAGGAAGGAGGGGTCTTAACTAATTTAGATACAGTTTTTTTCCAGATATTTCACGTGAAATCTCTTACTGGATTTACAGAAATTTTTTTTCAGATTATTCAGGTAAATATATGGTATCACATAACAAAGATTTTTATAAAAATACAGCATTACCTAAAATTTGAAAAAATATATTTCTTTGGATAAATTTTATACTGCTATCTCTGTAACTCTTTCTCTTCTAAGGTTCTCCTCTCTGTGGACAGAGAAGGCGTGGCAGTCTGTAGAGGAGAAGGAGTTGCAGACACGTTTCTTCTGACTGAGCACTGTGTTCTTTTTGCACTTTGGTGCCAATGCTCAACTTTTCGCAGGCATTTTGCTGTCTGCTGCATTCCAGATAAGGAAAGAAGGAAGAACAAAGTATCTTTCTCTTCTTCCAACAAGAGATGATTTAGGCAGCTTAAAACTTTAGTGCATTTTTTCTTACTGTGTCCAAACTTCAACACCTCCATTATTTGAATACGTGTGTAGAATGCTCACTTTCTGTTCAACCTCACTGTCTCCATGTTAGAACTGACATTTCTGTTATTGAGAAGGTATACATTTCAGATGCTTCGCCTAATGGTTAATGCAGGTTTTTAGGATACTGAGTAAAAGCGTACGATGGACTCCATAAAGTAATAAGACAGAAACATTATTTGAGACTGCCATTGAGAAAACCTGTTAATTATTTTGGACTTTATTTTTATTTTGTTCTTGCAGGAGGGTTGATTGGGGCTTTTTTTTTGCTGTTGACTCTATGTATAGTTAAAATGCCAAATTAGATTTATAGCAGCTTGAAGTTGTATTAAGTGATATTTTGCTTTCTGTAATTCTGTTATAAAATAAAGTTGTTTATTCTCTGTACGTGTTTTGGCACTCAGACATAAACTTGGAAGGTACTACAAAGGAACAAGTCAGTTATGAGAACTGCAGTTCTGGAGGCCACAGAACCTTGAAAAGAAGAGATTAGTGCAAGTAGTCTCCAGGGTTACCAGAAGGGTGGCAAAATTGTCTGGCTCCTAACACTGATACTAAAGTGTCATTGTTTAAAATTTTAGATGTCTTCCAATAAGCATCCTGGTTTCTGTTATTCAGAGAAGAAATCTTCGTATGCCAAAGATGAGGAGATTTGGACAGCACAGCGCATGTTAAGATACCGATCAGTCTGCAAGTGGTTCTACTGAGTTCATTGATTTAGGATGTACTATGATCTTTGAGTAACAAAACAAATCATAATACTTCTCAGCACGTTCTTTTTCACTTCTGAGCAATGTATTTTTGGTGCTATTCTCAGTTTAGATTGCTGCCATCTGTCAGCATGCTTGCTTAACAGAAATTCCTGTTAGTTTTGGCTTCATATAATTTTGATAACATAAGACAGCAGTAACCAAGATGTTGACTTATATATGCATGTAGATATTCTCAATTACATCCCATATTACCCTGAAAAATAGCAGATAACATTCTGAGCTGCTTTTCTTTAAAAGCAGGAGACATTCTGCCTTTCAAAAAGGGGAAGAGAACCCCACCCAGCCTAATAACGCAAGAACACTGCCACAGCTCTGTGCGTGAGTAGGCAGGTTGTGGAGGAAGTGGCAGGTCTGGGATATGTAAGCGGAGATCAAAATGCAGATATATAGATTTAAGGAGATGTCTTAATGAAGTTTTCTTACAAAAGTGTGTAGGAAAAAGCTTTATAAAATCTTTGAGGTATTTTTTATATGGTGTAGTGTTAGTTGCAGAACTCGTTTGGCGGGCGGAAAGCGTATTACTTCAATTATTGATTTGGATCTTTCTGATTTATTAAACACTAGATCAATATTGGGTTTTATTGCAATTGTATTTAATTCTTAAAACTGCAAATATAATCTTGAAAACCCTATTACTTTCACTGAGAGCTGTATTTCTTCAAACAGTAATCAGAACCTTTTGTCAGGGAAAAATTAATAGTGCTTTCAGGTCAGCATAGCTTGTGCATAGCTATCACTTCCATTGATTAAGCAGGTACTAATTAAACAACCAATGTCATGCAGAAAAACTAAAGCCCTAAGTGTGATCAATCCTAAAAATAGTCAAGTTTTACGGATTCTGGTTGTATGTAATTATTCGAATGTTCTGGAATGTTGTGCAAGCCAGGTGAGTTTTCATTGTTACTTTTTAAATGTAGTATATCTGTAGCAAAAACTGCAACATGCAACAAGAGAAATTGTTCTTGAGGCACTTCACAAGCTGGCTTTATAATACATAGGCAATTTCAAATGCAATTACAGGCCCGTTTAGTGAGAAGATATTTCACTAATTGATTCTGCTTAAATACTGAGAAAAGTGAGTCATGTGGATCCTACAGAAAAATATTTAATGCATCGTTCTTTTTAATCGTGATCACCTAAGGCTTCATAATAAATGTTGGAATTGTTCTACAGATTGTTTCCTAGGTTAAAGTTTCATGAAGGACAAGCAAGCAACTGTTTTTTAAAAATCAGTTATTGCTCAAAGTGACAAGCAACTACAATACAAAGTGTTTCTTGAAGTATTCTTCTATTTGACAGCTCGAGGTGAATGACAACCTTTAGTTTGGCCACAGAAGAAATCAACTAGATGGAATAAAATAAATGAAATGCTATTACAGACGTCAGAGTTTGTGAGATTTGATAGCGATCAGAACGACAACTGTACCCTTGGCCGGGATGCAGTGGGAGCTTCTCAGCTTTCAGGCACGTTAAGGGTGGAAGGGGGCTGCCTGGAACAGCTGGTGTCCTGCCCTGGTGACCTCACCACACCTCTGGAAGATGTGAAACTCTTGATTTTCAGGCTGCTCAGTTGTTTGGGGTTTTTATACTGCACTTGAAAAAAGATACTTGGATTAGTGATATTAGTACAAATTACAGGCATGAGAAATGCTGCTAATACCTGTAGTGTAAAATTATTCTGTTTGGCATGAAGGAACTCCTACAAGAGTGTTTGGGGGTGAGTATATATGAATGGCAGTACTGGGCCAGGCTGACTGACTGACACTGCCAGATTCCCCTGTCTGAGGCTACTGGTAGTTGCCTAGGGGTGTGTGCAAGAGTAAGCACTGTACTAGAAAGTAGTCCTTTCCCAAATACTCTTCCAGCTTTCAACAATTTTCAAAGACTTGCTGATGTGTCGGTCTTTTGTATTTATCCATCTCTGTGGATTTTTGGCTAATTGGTTTTTTGAAAATTCCTCTGGCAGGCATTTTCATCATTCCACGTGTCTTAAGGAAAAACCCACCTCCTTTCATTTCTTTTGAACCTGCCTCTGCCAGCTTCATTGGATAGCACCGCTGCAGACGCTAGAGGAGACTCCTAACAGGCATTCTCTCTGCAGTCATTCGCCAGCCAAAAGCTCTTCCTCGATTCTTTATCATTCTTACCACCTTCCTGTGTGCCTTCCTACTTCAATGTTGAGACTTTAAATGCAGTTCTGGGAAGTGAATAGGCAGCAATTGCAGACGGGCAGGAAGGTTTTAAACATGCGTACTGGCTGCAGATGGAGCGGAGTCCGAGCTTCGCATTGCTGCTACTGAGGGGAGGACAGGGGACTCCTCCGTGATAACAATGACTGAAGACAAATGATTTCCTTGCAATCACTGGTTTCGTATATATTTAGAGAATGCTTTTATAATTTGTCTAGACAAAGACTTAGTTCTATGGTGTTATTTAAATGTGTGGTTTTTCCTTTTCAAAGGAATTGTGTAAGACACCATGATGTGTTTCATGCCAGTAGCATGAAAACAGAGATATTTCTTGATACTACTCAGTTATGGAGCAGCAAGGCCTGAGAGTTTTCATGACATATTACTCAGTTTTGAATGTCAGAGCCTCCTACATGTTAGCAATTACAGCTCCAGAAGCAGTTGTGTCAAGGCATCCAGTGTCTTTCTGTTATAGTTCTTACCTAATATCTATATAGAATTATTTTCAGTATCCATACTACCATGTTACGGTAAAGTGCTGTTACAGAGTAATTTTAAATCCCTCTATTAGTCATTTTGTGAATTCAACAAAATCAATTTCATGTTGTGGTAAGGCTTGCTGAACTTCAGTTCTGTATATTTATACATGGTCCAGGCTTATCTTGCCTTGAGCGGTGTGGGAATGGGTGTTTGGGGCTGGGGGAGGAGGGTGTTATGATTCCTTCGACCTCTGATCAGTATCCAAGCTCACGGCTTTTCTACTGGCAGCATCTTTCGCGCATGTGAAAAGTCAATTCTTTGCAGCAGCTGTCTCAACTTCCCTGCAAAGGGTTGTGTAGATTGTAGTTACTAAAAGAAGAGGAAAGAGTATATTACAGAGAGCGTTTAAAGGTTTTCCTGAAAGATATCAATATCACAGAAGTTTACAGGTAAACAATGGTTTCACTGGCAGGGCTGAAGAATGCACTCTTCCACTTTGAAGCTGCTGCTCTTCTTAGAAAGCAAAAAGTTGGTGTCTAAGGACGATGTGGGAGAACAGGAGCCGTGGTGTGGAACAGGGTACTGAATCATATGGCAGTATGTGCCGCGTGTTACAAGGATCTATACCAGCTGCTTCAGAGGAAATTGTTGGACGCTTAAATACCAAATGATGAAATCACATACTTCTGGAGAGGTACAGAGCAGAGTTGTGGCAGAGGCTGGTAGGTCAGCTTCGTTGGTTGCGCACCATGTTTTTTCCAGGTGAGACAGCTGTAAGCTGAGGCAGATCATTAGAATCAAGCTTTCAGATCTCTCTCCTTAGACACCACGTTATACCTGGCTTTAACTTCTGGATCTTTACAATCTGCAGTGTGTATGATCTTCAACATTACAGCCTACAGGAACACTGCCGCTGAAGAAATCATCTATGTAACAAGGAGAACAAAACTTTTAATCTCTGTTAATAATAGCTGTATGAGTTAAGACTACTTTTCTTAAGAATTTTCATGTATTACATCTTGGTTTCTAAATCTCTGTGTCACATAAGTATTCATAAATATGCTTCTGATGCTGCGTAGTGCCTGGCTCTTGTTGTTATTTTTTTTAGTGAACCTTAAATACTTTACATCGTGACATAGATAGAAGCTTAGAAGCATTAACAATGAAACAAAGCATCACATTCTTTTCCGTCATTGCTTTCATGCAGTCATGATGGATCTTTCAATGACAGCAGCATTATTTTGTTTGCTGTAGTGCCAGCACTTGAGGTACAAGAGCAGAGTTCACTAAAGGTAGAAGGCCAATATTAAGACCTTTCGAGTCTCTCCTGCTTTTACGGTCAAGTCTGGATGTATGAGGTGTAAAGAAAGTGTGCACTGCATTGGCCTACGTTGTAGTAGGCCTGGCAGGCACTGTGAAAGTCCAGGTATGAGAGGAAGTCGGATGGATGCAAGGTCCGCTCAGCAGCTGGGTGATAGGGAGCTATTGTGATTTCCTGTGTGAGAGCTGCCTTTGGAGTGCTGCTTTACTTTTCCTCTCTGAAACACATCGTGTTTGTTGCCAGTCAAATGAAATTTGTGGTGTGAGGATTAAGAACAAAGGGACTGCATGCTTTGCTCTTACTTGGAAGAGCAAATTTATGCAAACAATAAAATCAGAATAAAGATATCTTCAGCCTTTTGAGTGCAAGACACTGGGAAAGCACTTTGGCATAATCACAGGTAGGGCATCTTTACTCTTGCTGTACAAGCGTACAGGTAGCTCTTTCCAGGTAACAACTAATTGGCTCTTCACCTGTTCAGTGCAATGTACCTGATGTTACTTGCA